ACCAGCTCTTTTTCCTGTCATCTTGGCAAGAGACAAAGGGGGAGGAAAGCTGGTCCCTCCCTCTTTTCATGCTCATCATTGTAACCTTCCTTAGTTCTTCCACTAGGTGTCAGCAGTGAAAAATGCAACAACCCTCTCCTTAAAAGTGTAGCATGGCAGATTCTGACAGTCTTAATACATTCACGTTGCTGCTGCTACTGCAGAAATACTCCACGGGCGTAACTTGTTGCTTGAGCTATTTCTGAACCTGGGTCTCCTAGTCTTCTGAAAGCCCAAATGACCAGAAGACCAGTACACCTCGGTCCAGAAGCTGCCTAGCTGGTGGAATAGAGGCAGGGTATGGAATGAAGCTCCTAGCAGTTTATCCACCAAGCAACCTACTGAGCACTTTTGCCTAGCATATTACTGGGCTTAAAAAGGTCTATTTTACCATGACCGTAACCTAAGGGGGTAATCAACCATATGTGGCTGCAGCATATAGTAGTGTCTCATGGAGTAAGCAAAATAGCATCAGGTAGGCAAAATGCCTTTACATGACAAGAATATCAAAGCTGCTATCAAGTTACCTGCTGTGATAGATGAATTTCTTGGACTATTCGGTGTCATGGTGATATCGTGCCCATATAGCCGGGGGTGGGGGGTCAAACTCAATTTCATTGAGGGCCGCATCAGGGTTGTGTTTGACCTTGGGGGGCTGTGGCTGGGGTGGGCATGGCCAGCTTGACGTCCCTCATGTTGGGGGCACCTGTGGCAGCCCGAGTGCTCTGCCAGCAAAAATGGGTTCCAGGGCTCAATCTTTGGTTGCAATGGCCTCCTTCTGCCAGCGAAAACAGCTCGGGAGGCCATCACAGCCAAAAACAGAGTTTGGGAGCCTGTTTTTGCTGGCAGAGGCACCATAGGCCGGTCCTTCACTGTTTCTAGGATGGCTCCAAGGGCCAGGTATTAAGCACCCTGAGGGCCACATCTGGCCCCCAAACCTTGAGTGACACTCCTGCCATATAGGAACCGGCTTCCAAAATACCCATTTTAGAAGCTCTGTGAGGCCCAAGGCATACTTTGCAAAGCATGAGAGCGTGTTATCTGAAGGGGCCTAGCACCAATGCAAAATAGCCATGGAAGGCAGTTAGCAAAGGAGAACGAGGCATGGCCACAAAAGTATACACTATCTGTTGTCTTTTAGTCCTGAGTATCTTTCCTCTTCATAATAGTGTATTTCCTCTGCTTCAGCAGTGGAATATCAGCGGTGAGATGTTCCTGCCTCTGTCTCCCAGGAGAGTGGATTTCACCCAGCTTAACCCAGCAGCTCGGCCAGACTAGCTTGTTTTATCTACTGAAATTGTTTTTCCTGCTATGGTTAAATTGCAACAAAGAGCCCTATTCCTGTGGGCCACAGTAACGAGGCATGCAATGAAGATAATCCATGATACTTAACAAATAGACATACAACCGTTGCCAACCACCATGTCACAAGCAGAATTTAATAGACATATTTTCACTTACAGGACATGTGGCAGAGGAATCCTTTTGAGGTTTAGAGGAAAGGGCCAGAGTGCTGTGATTTCCCTACCTAGTTTTTCTAAGCTTCAGACGCTTCTGAGCTACCCTGATATTAGGGCCTGCCTAGTAAGCTGCTCCAAGCACTTAGGACAGGGGTCTTCAAACTGGACAGCTTTAAGACTTGTGGACTTCAACTCCCAGAATTCCTCCTCCTGCCATGTTAGCTCAAGAATTCTGGGAGTTGAAGGCCACAGGTCTTAAACTTGCCAAGTTTGAAGACCCTTGACTTAGGAGTTGCAATGCAATTTCCTGTTTAAGAGACAGTAACAAGAAGTTGGGTTATTGTCCCTCACTTTTGCCCCTTTATCTTTTTATGGCTCAGGTTGACATCCAGCTGAACTGCGGGTGGGGTCTACAAGGATAAAGAGAGGGCAGACCCGCAGCATCCCATTGAACCTCAAGACAGGCGAGGTTGGGTAATGAAGCGCCTGTCTCTCTCCCTGGGATGTAGAGGGAATCTTGCCCTACCGACCCGTTGACGGCTTTTGCAACATCAGCTGGACAGGCGGTGCAAAGGGAAAGTCCCCTAGTGTGCGCATCCACCCCAGGCATCAAAAGTGGAAGACCAATGAAGTTAGAGCTCCCTCTGGTGGCAGTAACTAGACTTTCAGATTCGCGGGAAAAAGGGCGGGAGGAGAAAAGAAGCCGGCTGTCGAAACCCAGCAAGGCGGGAGGCTTCGCGCAGAAACTACGGTTTCATCACCAACCACTGTCTCCTTGCGCTACCGTGGGAAGGCTCTCCGAAAATAGTCCTTGCCGGCCTCCCTGGCCTGGAACACGTCAATCAAAGCCGTTTGAGCGACCCCCACCCCCGGAGAGAACCGCGCCATGGGAAGAGACGAACGCTTTGCAGAGAAAGTTTGCGCGGAATCCAAAGGCAAGAACGAGCGAACGTCTCTGAACGCGCACAAGTGATCTCTGGCATCTCTGGAAGTGCTCGGGCCAGGTTTATCAAGTCAAAAAAGGTTGTGATTGAAGAGCGAAAGAAAGTCTCTCTTCCATCGCCTCTTGCGCGATGCAAGCCCCATTTTAGATCCCATTTCAACCCCCGCCATCACTGCAGAACATCACGGAGAGGAGAGGGAGAAAGCGCTGAACCCGAACGTCTCCGCCCACTCCCTTTCACTTAAGAGAGAAAGATCGGTGGGTCCCACAATACACGCCACGAGATTTAAAGAAAAACCTTTAGATTACAACAATGACGGGCATTAAAAACGGACTCAGAGCCATTCCATGGACCTCGTCAGAAACATTTTCAAGCGGATTTATGTTTTTAAGCCAATTTCTCTATTGCACGAGCTGTACAACTACTAATTAAAAACAGAAATTCTGTAAACGTTTCAGTCAGCCTTTCAGATCTTCAAGTTCTGGACCTTCGAGATAGAAATTTCATATTTTAATATTTTTTCCCAACCTTTTCTTTTAGGTTTGTTTTAAATATCTAAGTAGCTGGTAGGCACATAGAAGAGGATCTAATAGGCAAGGTGCTTGTATAAAAGCTCTATTTGATTACTCGTTTTAGAGACTTGAAGTATATCCATGCATTTTTGTTATTGTGGGATCCTTGGTGCTGGGTTTGGTTATTTTCTTGCAGATGTTTCATTAATAACTGCATAACATCATTGAAGACTGATATTACCTAGATCAATAATGAAATATCGGCAAGCAAAAGCGCTAAAACCTTCACAGTGCATCACTGAGCTATATATATTTTCTTTTATTGGAAATTTAAGTTATTGCTGACCAGATCTCCATCATCATCTGCTAACCAGGAATGGATTACTGATTTCCTGCTGCTATTCTGCTGGTAGACAGGAAACTGATCTGTAAGGCAACATTATTAGGAAAGGCAATTATATTTGCAGTTGAATTCTTACAGCTGGAAACACTGGAGAAAAGTTGGGGTTGAAAGTTACTAATCATAAAATTATCTGAAGAGGGGCTGATCTTCAAGTGCTGCACATTTAATCTTTCTAGCCTGACTGCAGAAAGTCTGAAGGCTGCTGGAAACTTGGAGTAAAGGTGGCTGAGATTTTCTGGTCTCTTTTTGTTTCTGGGAAGAGATTTAAGGAGGTTGGGTTGAGACAATGTAACTGGGTCCCTTTGTGGCACATAACTCCAGCTCTGAAATCAAAAATCAACCCAAAGAAGATGGGTTTAGATGTTTAAGGGTATTTATGCTTCTACCAGATTTAAAAAACTACCTTTGCTCCAGAGGTGGTATTCAGCAGGTTCTGACCAGTTCTGGAGAACCGGTAGCAGAAGTTTTGAGTAGTTCAGAGAACTGGCAAATATCACCTCTGACTAGAGATTTTACAGTATCCTTCCCCTGCCACATCCACCAAGCCACGCCCACAGAACCGGTAGTAAAAAAAAATTGAATCCCACCACTGCTTTGCTCTTAAAATTTCTAAAATAAAAAAAAAAAAAGGTTGGCTCTGGAAGTTTCAAACTGTATCACAAAATGCTAAATTCTGACATCCAGGTTTCTAAGCCTTGAAGTTGCCAACGAAGTCTACTTATGACAAATAAACCCACAGATGTTCCTTCAGTGTTGGCTTCATAAAATATATATATATTTGCCTTAAATTAGAACAAAGCGTCCGTTTATATTTCCCTTTAATTCAAATGTTAAAATCCAGGTGGATTTTATATATTATAGATCATGGAAATCATACTCTAGAGACATTCTGTGGTATGTAAGGCATTTCAGGGAAAAAAGGAATAAAGGAAGAATACACTATAATTTCATTTTGGGGGTGATTTTAAAACATATTGCAATACTTAGGGTTTGCATAAGATATTGCAAGCTAGTCACTTACAGTTCAGTTTAGTATTTCAGGTAAATCCAATCCACTAAGTCAGTTTATAGTTCAGTGTGTTTATGCAAACTGAAACATTTGGGTTAAACACCAGTAAGCATGCATGTTGTATAACCTAGCTTTAAGTGCCTAGTTTTCTGGGGAAACATCCCCATGAATTAAATATTATTCTCAAATAAAAACATGTGTTGTTAGTATTAATCCATCAAAGCAACTTGAAGGAGAATGAAAATTAGACTTTAAAAAGCTATCAACACGAGCTCTTATAAAAAAAGAGGAGATAGTGTGTGCCTTCAGAAAAACAGCACTTGCACCACAGGATTACCTTTTCTGAGGCGACAAATACATCCATCACTCATCCAAACAGAAAAAATAGAAACTTCATACTCCGATGCAAATGGATGTATGCTTTGTGGGCTTTGGAAACATTGCTTTTCAGCGTATAAAACAAATAGTTGGCTGTTAAAAGAGATTAGAACCCTTAACAATCAAATGAAATGATTTCTTCCCTTATTAGATAAGAGATGGCATCGATTCAAAGCAGAGAAGAACAAAGACAGCCCACAGCAACAGCGCCATCAGAGGGTGCTGTCGATCTCGGAAGAGGCCCTTTTAAGGCGGACGTAGCAAAGGCCCGAAGGATTTCGAGATCAGCCTCTATATAGGGCCGAGGGAAGCGACGACAGTTCCTCTCCAGGCTGCGCAGCTCTCCCTGTCGGAAGGTCACGCCGTGCTCCAGGCTCGTCTCTCCCGCCGTCGATCAAAGTAAGTGGCCTTCTCCAGCCAGAAATGGAAAGTCGAATGCTCTCTTCCAATTTCTACGTAGAAACGGGCCAGAAAATCTCGCCTATCTCCCCTCTTCGCCGCCGCCGCCGCCTCTGGCGCGGGGAAAACCGACGAGGAGCCCAGTCCCCGGGGCCACGTGCTTCCCGGGCGGCAGAATTGGCGAGGCAAGCGCCTCGACCTCCGGGTCTCTTAGCTCCGCCCGGGTCTCAGTTCGCGGAGCTCGCCGGTGCTTAGGCCGCTTAGGGTGCCCGATTCGGGTTAATCCACGGCGGTGAGGGTGGGAAGCGGGAGAAGGTTAGGCCTAGCCAGGCGGGTAAAGCGCTCTGGCAGTGCGTGCCCTGCGTCAGGCCTGCCTGCTCGCCGCCCCCCCCCCCGCCTGCCAGTCTGCCATGCTTGAGTGTCGAGCCTCGGATTAGCGGCCTTCACCGGCTTGGTTTACGATTATCCGCCTTCTGGCGAGCAGGGCGAAACTCGTGTGAGCCTTCCTCGACGACCTCGCGTTGCTAAAGGGCTGCTTTCATTTTTGTCCTACAAATAGATTGGCATCCAGCCTTAACTGAGAGATGCCGCTTTAATGCCCGAAATTAGAGGGGCATTTCTGAGTTAAGGCTGGATGCCAACCTATTTTTATTTATAAATACACATATATACATACACACACACAAATTATTTCTTTTTTGGTCTGCAGTCTAATGGCTGGTATTGCTGTTCTCGCTCATATCCATGGAAATTTCAGGATTAGAATAGGCGTCAAAAGAACAAAGGGGAAAAAAGCAGAGATGGAAACCTGTTTCCTTTCGGAGCCTTGATTTTTTTTAAACCACGAAATAATCCTGGCTATAAATACTTGGTTTTTTGGGAGGGGGTGGAGGGGAATTTAGGATGGAATCACAATGTGTTTGGAAGTCAGTCAAGTTAAATCTAGATTTAAACTGGGCTTATGTAATGGAATGTGTGGATGACCTGCCTTGGGCAAACAGTGGAAGAGATGCTGCTTATTAGGAAACGATCAGGCAAGAGAGGCAGGAACTCCTAGTAGTTTAATGGTCAGAGAAGGAAATGTAGGAAGGATTGTCCTAGGTTCAAGCAGTTAAAAGCCGGCTGTGGGAAGTTTGTACTTTCAGACATGGAGATTATGTTCATATAGGCCCCAAAAGAAAGTAGAATTAGTTTATCTAATCCTGTTACTTGTCTGGTTTACCTGGGAGGGCTGACATCTTGTCTGGAACAGCAGAACTTCAGATTTCTGATGTTTTGATTTAGTAAAGATGTTGTAACAGAGCTAAAAATGCCATGTTCTAGCCCTATGCTCAATACTAGAAGTAATATTCTAGGGACCTAGAGGAAATTGGGAGAATTACAAGGATTATGTTTTGTGCTGGAGAGCACTGCTGCCATCTAGATCCATTTTTTTGTAGGTATAGAGGAGGAGGAAGGCCTCCTGCCGAGCCGTTTCACTTTCTTTATTTTCAGCAACCTGTGGCTATTAAGCTAGGGCTGAAATACAAGCCTATCATAGTCTCAGCCCCCCATATTTAAAGGCAGACAATGCTAGCGTTTTCTTTTGCAAGGTAGTTGGCTGTTGCAATCCACAATATAACATGCAACTTTGAGCATTCTGTAAAAAGATATATGCCTATTACAAAGGATATGAACTCTTGAGTTGTTTTCCAGATGCCTGAAGAAATCCAGCATGGTGAAGAGGAGGTGGAAACATTTGCCTTCCAGGCAGAGATCGCCCAGCTTATGTCCTTGATCATCAATACCTTCTATTCCAACAAGGAAATCTTTATGCGGGAGATAATTTCCAATGCCTCTGATGTGAGTATAGAGACTTGGAGCTAGGGCAGAGGAAAAGTAGAAGGCAAGACTGCAGGGAATTTGGTAATACTTGGAGTGGATTGAGTAAAACTAACATTTAAATCACATTTCCTTCTAGTCCTTTGCCCTGAAGTCTCAAAGGGATAGTTAAATCCAACCCATGTACAAGATACCAGGTTGCAAAAAAATATGACGATCTGGACAGCATCCTAGTATGAAACCCAACTATAATAACATGTTGTTTTAATTATTGGACTTCAAAACAGCTTTTTTAAATATCGTCAATGAACCCCTTCAGATTTAAGAAGTTTAATCTAGTTCTTTAAGGCATGCTTTATTTCAATACTAGTCTTCTAGGCATTGCTAAAAAAATTACATGTAAACAAGTGATGGATTTGGTAAGAAAGGGTGCAGAGTTCTAGTCCTCAATTGGGCTTAGTTTAATAACCAAACGAGTGTCAGAGGGAAAGTACAATTCCCTGTTGCTCCTCTGCCAGTAGGTTATAATTCTTGTGAGTTCTTTTGCATAGCTATTGCATATTGTATATTTTTGCTAAAACATAAACACACTAATATTTCCTTTTGCTTGGATAATACTAGAAAAGCGAATACTAGTTAATAGTAGGTGCAATAATTGCAAAAATTATTCAATGTGTTACTTTTAATATGAAGGCATAAGGAAATATGGTGGCTTTAGCGTAATGGAAAAGAGACCAATTGTGTTGCTGAATGTCTGCCATTGGGCATAAAATCCTAGCTATGATCACACAAATGGTCCATCTGTCTCTGTGTTCTGTTCCTATTAATAGCTAGCCACATGACTGAGAATCCCACAAGGCTTCTCAATTTTAGGCCTGCCTGGTTTATCTCAGGTTGTTATAACTTCAGGATCAATGCCCCAGTGCCCTCTGAAAGTCTTGAATGTCGTTCCTGGAATGCTTCAAAAGCTTGCTATTGAATTTAATGTTGACGGTATTAAATGCAGGAAGAGTAATCTTAATAATCCTATTTTAATTAAAATATATTTTCACTAAATCAGCATACTTTTACCTTTAGCCCTCCCTATTGTTTGAAATATGATTTCCATCTTTCAATGTTAAGTCAAGCCTGTTAGGGACAAATTACCTAAGACTCCCCTCTCTTTCTCATTTTTGGTTTGTAAGTAGCTGTAGATCATCTGCCCTCTCTGCCATGCTTCTGTAAATGTGAACATGGCGTTATTGAGTGATAATTACCCATGAACCCTGGTGAATTCCTTTAAGCCAAGATCATCGCTTCATGTTATGGTTGCAGATTTCACAATTTCAAGTCCATGCATGTTTTTTTGACACTTACTGAGATCATCTAGTTCATTGTACTCTATGAAAGGAGGTGAGGCATTTGCCATGTCTGATCGTTTTTTATTCCAAAGCAAAATATATCTTTAAATCCTTTGGTTAAATTATGAAGTCCAGGAGAATATCAGACTTACTTTGGAAAAAGCAATAATATGGTGTCCCGCTTTGTTTCTAGGGCCTAATAAAGCAGAGCTAGATTATGATCATACATTCAGTGATTAAGAACGAGGACCATTGAATTCAAAGGGATGCCCTTCTGAATGAGAACTAAAATTGTACTAATTATCTTTTTCTCAAAGGAGAATTTCTCTAAAGTACATGAGTGCTTGTGCTGTTCACAACTGGTGTATGCTTTAGAGTAGGTTTGTGATTTTTTTTCCTTTTAAGGTTTAAAACTAACATCTTTTGTTTCCTGGACTTCCTTTTTTTAAAACTAGAGGTAATATAAATCTTTGAATGATGGTTGAAGTTTGACAGAATCCACAAAACATACGATTTTTAATCATCTAGGCTTTGGACAAGATCCGCTATGAGAGTCTAACAGATCCCTCAAAGCTGGAAAGTGGAAAGGAGTTGAAAATAGATATCATCCCCAATCCTCATGACCGTACCCTTACATTGGTGGACACTGGCATTGGAATGACAAAGGCAGATCTTGTCAACAATCTGGGCACTATTGCCAAGTCTGGCACAAAAGCCTTTATGGAAGCATTGCAGGTGAGTGGTTTCAATCTAGACTTTTGGTAATATTTAGGTTCCCTCATAGTGTGGTCAATTTGTCATAAATACGTATATCCTCAAAACTGAGTGTCACATTGTCTAGAGGTGAAGATGTTTGTCACCTGCTTGGAAGGTTGAGAATTCAATCCTAGGCAGCGACAGATGTTTCTCTTATCAAGTACCAAGAGAAATATCTGCTGTGAACTCCACATAAGGTGCGAGGAAGGGCATCCAGCCAGTAAACGCTCAGCTTCATTCAGTTGCTCCGATTCCACTGCGATAAAAGGGATTAAAGAGTTGTAAAAGGAAAAAAAAAACCTCAAAATTGGTAATCCCCTAAATTCCTTCAGTGATGGATGTGTCTACACTGACTATGTGTAGAAGGGCATTTGCTAAAGAGACAAAATTGTCTGACAAGGATTGTCAGAGCTTCATGTCTAAAGAATAGAGGCCAAACTAGCAGGAGCTTTAAAATAGGAGTCTGAATAACTAACAAAAAAAGTTGAATACACTAATTCACCTTAAGCAAAATAACATTTATTCTACTGGAAAGAAATTCTTGGATCCTTTTGACTGTCTTGTCTGTGCACTTTAAAACCTCACCGGGACATTTCCAGGAAGCTTGCTTTAAAAATAAATAAGCCATGGCCTAAGATCAAGTGGTGGCATGGAGTCTGTGAAATAGTTATAGGGGTGTCAGTTGCCTAGACATGCAAATTGAATAAATAAAATCAAAACCAAACATTACAGGATATGGAATCCTATGTCCGAGATGTGCTTTCTATTTGCATAAGATATAGTCAAAAGAATTATATCCCATTCTTATTTGGAGATGCTAAATTTAGCATAAGGTGTAGCTGAGCTGAATTCCCTACGGATAAAACATGCTTTTGTGGCTATGTCAAAATCCATGTTGTTTGTAATCTGGTATGGTGGATACTGTCAGTTACTGTTGCCTGTTACACATGTTGCATCCCTTGCTTTTTAGGCTGGCGCAGATATCTCCATGATTGGGCAGTTTGGTGTGGGGTTTTACTCTGCTTACCTTGTGGCCGAGAAGGTTGTGGTCATCACCAAGCACAATGATGATGAGCAATATGCATGGGAGTCATCTGCAGGAGGCTCCTTCACTGTTCGGATTGATCATGGTACATGGCGATTTGTGCTTTTGGAAAACATTTGCCACCTAAAGAGTGATGGGAGAGGAGGGAGGAGGTGATTAGTTGCTTTGAAGTAGCAGGCAGATTACAGGAGCCCTGCTCATTACTAAATGGGCATTGCTGCAGCATTCATTCTGGTTCCAGGACCCCTAAGGAACAGTGATGGAGCGGTCAACATTAAACAGTGGGATATTTTTAATATTTTTAAAAATGGGTTGGTCTACATTTTTATTGTCCTTAAGACAAACTCAATGCATCAAGTGATATTTATGATTCCACATCATTACTGGATTAAAATAGGTATACCTGAACAGAAGCCACAGCTTTTTCTTGTATCTTATTACAATGCAGTTACACAGTGACTTGCTATTAGAATTGTGGGGCATACCTCTAACTGAAATCTTCATATGTCTCCAGAAATTACATTTCATTGGGTACCTTTACTCCTCTTTTTTCTTTCCATTGTCAATTACATTTTGCAGCAGCATTTTTCCCCCTTAGGCTATATTGTGCTTTTCAGCAGGATTTATTTTAAAATACAGACTATATTTCTAGAATATTATACTTTGCAGTGTGTGCATTTGACAGGAGGGGAACCTTTGTAATGTTGGCTTTTGCTAGAAATGCTCCCATTTTTAAGTTCAGTCTTGGATTGCTCAGTTTGGATTCAGAGTAAATAGCACAGGTCTCAAACCTCAATGCAGTATCTGACCCTAATATAATGGCTCTCTTTGCCTGTTCTAGGTGAACCCATTGGCCGAGGCACCAAAGTGATCTTGTACCTAAAGGAGGATCAGACAGAGTATCTGGAGGAACGCCGTATCAAGGAAGTGGTGAAGAAGCACTCGCAGTTCATTGGATACCCCATCACCCTCTATGTATGTATTGTGGAGCCACAGGTCTGATAATAAATATCCTTGTTACTTCTAGCTCTTTGCTACAGCTAATTTCACATTCCTGCTTCTGGGGAAGCACTTTCTGAACACTCTGAAGGTTGAGAATCTCTTTTTTCCCCCTGGTAGCATTTGGGTTTCAGCACATTCCCAAATTATGTTTTGAAAGTAAGTCAGGGTAAGGAGAACATTGACTAATCTTGGGGAGGGTGAAATCAGAAAGGTGAAAAGTCTTTCTGTGAAGTTTTTTTTTCAAATCGGTTAAAGAGTTTTGCCTGGAGAAAAAGAGGAAAGAGGTAATGGTCTTCAGATATCTGAAGGGCTACCCTGCACACCCAGTAAGCAGATTTATTTACTCATTCTCTAAAAAGCAAAAGTGTAAACAATGGGTGAGAATTGTAGAGAAGCAGGTTTGGCTAAAGTTTGAAGGAGGCGTCCTAATGCTAACGCAAAGACTTAGAGGTAGTCCTTGACTTAACAATCAGCACTTGGCTTGCCTTCTTCCAACAAGCAAATGCATTTAGACAAGCACAAGGTATGTTTTCTGAGCTTGGGCAGGTTTGACTTGATAAGTGAGTTTGCTCCGTTTTATGACTTTTCTCGCCAGATTTGTTAAGTGAATTACTGCAGTTCTTAAATTAGTAACACAGTTAAGTTAATCTGGTTTCCGCATTGACTTGGCTTGTCAGAAGGGTGGCTTGGCTTGTCAGAAGGGTGCAAAAAAACATGACCTTGGGATACAGCAACTGTTGTAAATATGAGTCAGTTGTCAACCACATAAATCACCTGACCACAGGGATGCTGCCTCAGTCATAAATGTGAACAAAGGGTCATAGGGCACTTTTTTCCAATGCATTGTAACTTGGAACCGTCACTAAATGAACTGTTGTAATTCAAGGACTACCTGTACATTATCCATTCTCAATTGTTCTGAAAGGCTACAATAGAAATGTATTAAAAGCTGCTTGGGTTTAATGCCAAATAAAAGGAAAAGCTATGTTACTCCATGAAATTACAGACAGATGTTAACCCTCAGGTGCTCAAAAACATTCTTTTTTTTTTTTAATCCGAAGTTGCACTTTTACACACACAGGCACTTTAAAACAGGCAGCATAAATCCTCACACAGCTCTTAGAAAACAAGCTTGAAGCTCCTGAACTGTCCTCAGGAAAGGACGTGTCTTATTTTCTGGGTGCTTGCAGTTGACTTGATGCGAAGGAGGCTATCTGTCTCCACTTAATATGCCCCTCCCTTATTTTATCCGGCAAAGCTTAGTAACACCTTTCTTTGCCTTTGTAGTTGGAAAAGGAGCGGGACAAGGAGATCAGCGACGATGAGGCGGAGGAGGAGGAGGAGAAGAAAGCTGAGAAGGAGGAGGAAGAGGAAGCCCCCAAAGATGAAGAGAAGCCCAAGATTGAGGATGTGGGTTCGGATGAGGAGGAGGAAAGCGGCAAGAGCAAAAAGAAGACCAAGAAGATCAAAGAGAAGTATATTGACCACGAGGAGCTGAACAAGACCAAGCCCATCTGGACCCGCAACCCTGATGATATCACCCAGGAGGAATACGGCGAATTCTACAAGAGCCTCACCAATGACTGGGAAGACCATTTGGCGGTCAAGGTGAGCAACTCGGGCGATGAGAAGGGGAACGGGTCTGGATGTCCGTCTTAACCAAAGGTCTTTCGCAGTCAGCAGAGAGAGGCAGTTGATGGGCTTCTTTAGAACTGACCATGCTTAATGTTACTGTTTACATTACTGTTTAGATCTCTGAATTTTGACACATTGTTTTGCTTGTTACAGAATATCTTTCACATTTTTCCCACATGAACACAGCTCTCACCAATACACAACTTTCAGCTTCTCTTTCTGACTGTTGCAGCAGAAAATATTTCAAGGTGTTTCTTACTTGTTGACTTGGTGTTCCGTGATGAGAGTGTTAAAGGCAGCTCATCCTGTGAAGGAAAAACTTTGGGGGTTTCCCCCCCCCCTCAGTGCTTCTGTTCATGCTTGGCATGAAAAATAAGCAGTAAATATAAGACCCTGCCTCAAGATTAGGTGAAAGGAAATAATGGAATTACAGCACCGATACATTATTGTCCCTCTTGTCAGTTTTTTTCCATAGTATGATATTTAGTACAGTGCTTCAAGTTGGGAGATGTGGGTGGAGGAGAGAATGAAACTTCTCCCTTTTACTTGCTTTGCCCTGTTAAAGTCATATTGAGAAGATAATATTGAAAATGAGGTTTGTCTCTGGTGGTTGCTTTCCGTATTTGAACAAGATTCTGTCCTTTTCTGCCCTTCAGGAAGAGTTCAGAGTTTGTGGCTAGGGCACAAGGAATTTTTTCTGACACTAGTTTGTGTCAAAACTCATAACTTTTTTTCTTACCTCAGGAGATTATGCCACAAATAGCTTTCCAGTTTAGGGCGAAGGCCAGAATGCAGCAGCCATCATAATTTCTCAGTTTGCCCAATTAATGGCAGGACTGAGAGAACTACACTGGTTTCCATTTAACTTTAGGTAATTCCAAGTTCAGGTTCTTTACAACCTTACATGGCTCAGGACCTGCATATCTGTGGAATCATTTCCTCTCACAGTTTCTGCCATCTGCAAGATCTGGGGAGACCACCCTTCAAGTCTCTTCATATTGCCATAATTGGGGGGACGTGCTGTTTCTAGTGGTGCCTCTCTCTTTTGGAGGAGCGCACAGCCCAAGATGAAGTCAGTAGCAACCCTGCTGGGATCCAGGAAAAAGCTGCCAAGAGCTGGCTGTTCTAGAAAGCCTTTGGGAAATGTTGGTGGTAATTGTCATAATTGCATTGCCTCTGGTGTGTTAATGGATAGGACAATTTTTCTGATGTTAGCGGTAATGAGTTTTGCTGCGTTTCCTTTGTCCTCTGTGTTTTATTTTTGTGTTATTACTAAGACGCTTAAAACCATTTTTGGAACAGAGCAGCAAATACATTGCAGAAAGGGAAGAACAAAATGTTTTTTGTTGTTTTTTTTATGGTCAAGGATGGCTCACTTCTAAGCAGATGTTAGTCATTTGGAAATTTGTCAGGTGCTCACAGGGCTTGCTTGTTCTTCCCAATCTTCCCAGCATTTCTCTGTGGAGGGGCAGCTGGAGTTCCGGGCGCTCCTCTTCATCCCCCGTCGGGCTCCATTTGACCTTTTTGAGAACAAGAAGAAAAAGAACAACATCAAACTCTACGTCAGGAGGGTCTTTATCATGGACAGCTGTGATGAACTCATCCCAGAATATTTGAGTAAGTCCTGCAGCCTTCCTGCATTTTTTTTTTTCAGCTTGAATGACAAGTGGTTTAATTAGCCTTTGGCTGACTAATCTGCATTTGTAATCATCCTATTCCCACACGTTTAATTCAGTCACCCACTAATCCAATCAGGACTGGTTTTGGCAACAGACAATGACAGTAATCAGGGTCAAAGTCGCCATCTTTGGAAATGCAGATAGTCCTCGATTTCAGTGGAGCTTGAAATTTCTGTTGCTAAGTGAGACAGCGGTTAAGTGACTTTTGCCACATTTTATGTCCTTTCTTGCCACCATTGTTAAGTGGACCACTGCAGTTGTTAGGTTAGTAAAACGATTCTTCAGTGAATCTGGCTTCTCCATTGACTTTGCTTGTCAGAAAGTGGTAAAAGGAGATCACATGACTCCCGAGACTGTAACTCATAAATATGAAGTCAATTGCCAAGTGTCTAAACGTTGATTGGTGACCATGGGGATGCTACAATAGTCGTTAAGTATGAAAAATGGTCATAAGTTGCTTTTTTCACTGCTGTTTGTAACTTTGAATGTTCGCTAAATGAACTGTTGTAAGGCGAGGACTACCAGTACTGCAGTTGTTTGACAGTTGCAGTGTCTAATTCTAAACTAATGGGGGGATTACCCAGGCATAAACCTTATTACCACAACATGATTTGAGTTGGGGAGGAGGATTAGTGTGTCATGGGAATTGCAGAAAAGGGATTAACTGACCCTGGTAATCAACGCTTGAGGAAGCTAAACACAGCCCCAAATAGCCTCTGTAAGGCAAATATTTGAACCCAGCCCAACAATCATACCTAGTTCTCCAAGCAAATGAAGAACTTGAGAAAGAATGGCTGAAAAAGCAAGACCTTCCTATTACACAGTTCATTGCTGGGGCACCATTCCCCAACACGCTTTCCGGTGCTTCTGTGGCTGATGAGGAAGGGGGCAGCGATGCCATTAAGTCTCACCAGTGCTTTCTTGGTGCAAAGCCTCGCGGTACACTAGGCCTGGGAAAAGTAGGCAAGAGTTGTGTACATCTGTGATCAAAATTCAGACATTTGGCCACACTGACTAATATTTGTAACAGTTGCAGTGGGACATGGGATCACCTTTTCCCACCTTCTGGCAAGCAAAGTCAATGGTGAAAGCAGATTCACTTAACAACCCTATTACTAACTTAACAACTGCAGTGATTCACTTAATAAATGTGGCAAGAAAGGTTGTAAAATGGGGCAAAACTCAACAGAAATTTTGGGCTCAGTTATGGTTATAAGTCGAGGACTGCCTGTACTATACAAGTTTGATGGAGTTACAGTAGGCCGTGTTTCACCTGTGGGGTCATCTTTGCTCTGAAACAGAAGCCATCTTAGTAACGGTGATAGTTAATCCAAAAACTGGGTTTAGCAGTGCCAGTGTCCTACTATTGAACTGTAGTCCCTTCTTCTGCCAGCCCAGAGTCCTCTGTATTTATGGTATGTTTTCCTCTGATATAACTGACAAGGGCAAGGAGAGGGATGATCAGTTGAAGGGAGACAAAAAAGGAGATTGGTATTCTTTGCACATTCCTGTTCATCCACAATTCCTTCACAAAAAATTGAAGCACGTATCCCTGAGTTCCTTTTGTTTGAAAACATGTTTAGTGGGATGGGATAGATAAATTATCTGGCCTAACCTCTTTCCCAGTATCCGTCTCTGTGCAACAAATGTCATAAGTAGCTTTGCTTTATAGGAGACAGGAAGAGATGTTGGTGTATTCGAGACATTTTAAATTTCCATCCATCTTAGTCGGTTTGGCCAGTGTGAAGTCCTAGTCGGCTTGGCCAATGCAAAGGGACTGGGAGTTATTTAGAACAATTGGAATGCATTGCACGGCTTCCTCTGTAAGGATATAGGAAATGCCTTGGGAAGAAATAGGTCCAGGTGATCCAAACAAGAGATTGAAAGCTGACAATAAATCCAGGTAGAATAGAGCAAAAATCCTTCGCAAGTTTTTATAGCACATCATTGTTGGATGGGAAAGAGTTCTTCACTTCAGTGCCTTAACTCCATCGGACATGAAATATGAACAAAATGTACTTTAGAAGAAGGGACAATAAATATGCATGATATTTATACACATTTTCTTTCATCTTCCAATCACTGTAGGAGTTTAAGAAATGTTCATCAGTCTGTTCTTATCCAGATCACTTCACTGCCGCAGCTGTTTCCCCATCCCCCGGCACCCCTGATTTTGTTTACTTCTCTTATAAACACAGATTTTATTCGAGGTGTGGTGGATTCTGAAGACCTGCCCTTGAACATCTCCCGTGAAATGCTACAGCAAAGCAAGATTCTCAAAGTGATTCGCAAGAACATTGTCAAGAAATGTCTGGAACTTTTTGCAGAGTTGGCTGAAGACAAAGAGAACTATAAAAAATTCTATGAGGCCTTTTCCAAAAATCTGAAGGTGAGAGTTCTGCCCCGTCCATTTGGTAGCACAACAATTCTCAATATGTTTTGAGCTTGTTTCCTAACTTAACTAGTTATTGAATTATGCTAGCTGTGAAGCACACGCAGCTAACCTATTTAGGTAGGTATATTGGGTGGTTTTTTTTAAAAAAAAACTATTTTGTTTCTTACATAAAAGGCAAAGGATTTATAATTGTCTCTAGCTACTGTTTTTAGTTCATTTCCATACTTAAAGTGAAAGTTTTGATCATATCTAGGGGATCAGGATTTGTCTTTTTAGTTTACATTGCCCTGTTGCAATGTCTGTATAACTCATTCTCTTTCAGCTGGGGATCCATGAAGATTCTGCCAACAGGAAACGTCTCTCGGAGCTCCTGCGCTATCACACTTCTCATTCTGGAGATGAGATGAACTCTCTAACAGAGTATGTGTCCCGAATGAAGGAAAACCAGAAGAACATTTATTATATCACAGGTGAGTGACAGTTCATTGAGTGGCCCTGAGTGAAAATATCATATGGCAGGAATGCTATTTGCCCTGAAGAGCCGCCTTATTTTTGGTCTTGATCTTCAAGACTTACACTGAATTTTCTAGGTTCTTTAGAAGCCTGTAATGCCATCCATGCTGAAATATTGCCTTCCCTGGCTCTTATGAAATGGCATGAGAGTGCTGGGCTCATTCTCTAAATTTCAGAATTGCAGGGACCTGACCTGGAAATATCTAAGCAATTTTAATGTAAGTGTTTAAGGAAGTAGAAGGCTTTTGAGAAGGGCTTGTGAATATTTATATTTTCATTCTCCTACAAGTTCTATATGCCATATTCAAGTTTCAAAACCACCTCCTTTTTCAGTGCATTGTTAAATATGGTGATTCACTACCAGAATCTCCTTAAATTGTGTTATGCAATACCTGCAAATGAATGAAAATATGCAAAATTAATGCATATAATAGAAAGTGAAATTTGCATTACAAAATCCTGGGGTTTTCTGCAGTTGGTTTACTCTGTGCTGAAATACTGGCTTCACACAGTTTAACAGTAGATATAAAACTGTCTTTTTTCAGTGTATTGCTTAAAGTTACAAATAGCTCTTAAACTTCTACAGCATCTAGTTTTATTATGAATTATTGATTTATGGGTATTTTAAGTATTAGAGGAATATAAAATAGTACATAGAAAAGTGAATGAAATAAGGAAAGTGGCATTGCTTCCTGGTACCACCAGTTTTGGAAATGCACTCCTTGACATCCTGAAAGAGCTGGGATGCCCTCTTGCCTGATAGAAGGATAGGAGCAGTTGATTAGAATAGGAAAGGATTTGGGGCATTTTAATGACCAACTTATTGAGAGAACCAATACACATTGGAATACATTTGAAGATTAGAATTACCAGTATTCTGTTAGTATTCTCAAATCTAAAATTGAGGATAATTAAAAGTATACGCTTTGAATTCCTGTTTGAGGGGAAGGCTTGTCCCAAAGTTTTTCAGTAATTGTGGTAACGGGCTGCATTTTTACCAAATTTAAGGACTTGTTTGAGACATAATAGTTTTTCTAACTATATAGATGACTGGTAAGTACAAGTAGAACATTTTAATTCTTGGAACACTGAGGCATTAACAAAGGGCCTTTCAGAGCAAGGCCACGTATAGCGTGCCCTTTTATGGGAGCTAATATCTAAAAGGGAACTGCTGTAATGATATTGGAGATCCAAGTGTGTAACTGGAAATTTACCACTTCAACCTCTCTGGTACTGCAGGAGAGAGCAAAGAACAAGTGGCCAACTCTGCTTTTGTGGAACGTGTGAGAAAGCGTGGTTTTGAGGTGATATACATGACGGAGCCCATTGATGAGTATAGTGTTCAACAACTGAAGGAGTTTGACGGGAAGACATTAGTATCGGTCACCAAGGAAGGCCTGGAATTGCCAGAAGATGAAGATGAAAAGAAAAAAATGGAAGAGAACAAATCTAAATTTGAGAATCTTTGCAAATTAATGAAGGAAATCCTGGAGAAGAAAGTTGAAAAGGTGAGATTGTCATGTTGTTGCCCATTATGGTTTTTGGGAACATTGATTCATTGTGCTTATAGGGAGCATACCTATGCCCCCATCATACATTGTTGAAGTGCCATGTCTTACAATTTGGCTTATCTTTCTAGGTGACAGTTTCAAACCGGCTAGTTTCTTCCCCCTGTTGTATTGTCACCAGTACCTATGGCTGGACAGCCAACATGGAACGTATCATGAAGGCCCAGGCTTTACGAGATAACTCTACTATGGGCTACATGATGGCCAAAAAGCATCTGGAGATAAATCCTGATCACCCCATTGTAGAGACTTTGCGTCAAAAGGCTGAGGCAGACAAAAATGACAAGGCTGTCAAGGATCTAGTGGTACTTCTCTTTGAAACAGCATTACTTTCTTCGGGTTTCTCCTTGGAGGATCCACAGACCCACTCTAATCGGATCTATAGAATGATCAAGCTGGGATTAGGTGAGTTGCTAAAATCTCCTCAGGAATTTGATACTTTTATTATCTGAAGAGGGAAACACTTACCTAGTGACTGCTTCACAATGTTAGTATTTTGCTCTCATGTTTTCACCCCAGCTATTTGACAAAATAAATAGTAGATATTTGGCTTCAGTGAAAACATACCTTTTTGATTTGGGTAACAGTGTTCCTGGAAATCTTCCCATAAATTTGTATTAACCTTTTAATAAGAAGACATTTGTCCTGAGAAGGGTAAAAGAAAACTAAATGGGGTGATCCACATAACACTGCAGTCTTTCGCATTGACTGGCTATGGGTAAAGACATGAAGCACAGCCTTGAATCAGATACCAAACTCTGAAGCACCAAGAAAATATTTATAGCCATGATGCAAATTGGAAGCTTGAAAGATCAGAAGTGAGTGCTCTGCCTCAGATTTGTTACACACGCACACACATTGTTGTACTTACCTACAATATGGAGAAAACCATATTCATGTTTGAATTGTAGAATAAACTCTGGTGCTAAATATGGTTCACTCACACCTTTAACATTTAAGTTATAACCATATAGATATTCATAGTGGGATTCAGAGTTTTAGTATATTTGTAAACTTAAACTTATTTGTAAATTTACAAATATTTGTAAATGTGTATATTTAGTCATACTAAGGTCATAGATGCGTAGCACTATTTCTAATCTGGCACAGCCTAAAAATAATTTGGCTTTACTCAATACCTTTCTCCTAGGAATTGATGAAGAAGAAGTTGCTGTTGAAGAATCCACTTCTACTGTATCCGAAGAGATCCCTCCCCTGGAAGGAGATGAGGATGCATCGCGCATGGAGGAGGTGGATTAAAGAGCAGGAGCTGATCTTCCCTCTTTCCTGCCTCCCTCTTTTTTCCCTGTGCCATCACCTTGCTCAGGAACCCTGGCAGTGCTAACTGCACCCTCAAAATGGTCTCTGTGTCTTTTATAAATGGTAACTAACATGGCAGGCAGCCTTCCACATTTATTTGGTCTGTCTGCTTGTTCAAACATGCTGCTTTAGGGGAAAAGGGTCAGTCTAATTGTTCAAAGGTTTTTTGCTCTCCTGTCCATGAAGATTTTGTTGTAGTTTTAGCTTGACCGCCAAACATCCATCCCACTATAGCTGAAGTAAACACCCAGAGAATGTCCTTTCCAATAATATAGCAGTGAGACTCCTGCCCCGCCCATCTCTCGCTGCTGTCTGTTGTCTTGAGAAAGCAGGGACTTGCAATCTTGTTCATGTGTTTGGTTTTGTTCTACTGGAATTAAAATAAAGAAGAATATGGTTTACAATGAAATGGGGTGTTAATTTCATTATTATGGTTAGTCACACAGTCAGCCTGATGTTTAGACTGGCTTTGGCACTGTTACCAAGGAACTAGGAAGGGCTGTTTGATGGTGTTAAAAGGCATTGTTGCAGGATGTAAACTATTCCAAATAAAGATGGCTTTTGCAGTTGATGGTGAGTTTTGCAGATGGTGTTCCAAGTAGTGCTCCAGACGCTTTGTGATTTCACCCAAGGAATCTATTACTATTGGTACAATCTTTGCTTTCTTTTGCCACAGGCATGCTACTTCTATTTGCAGGTCTTTGTTATGATTGTCCCCAGTTCGTTCTTATCTGTTTTGCTGTCTCTAGGGTCAGTGTTCACTATTACCACTCCACTGTCCACTATCAAGACTTTTGGGTCTTTTCTTTATCAACAGTTGTTAAATCTTGGGTATGATGTGGCAGGTGTTTGTCTGCTTGAATTCTAAAACCCCACAGCACTGTAGTTTCTCCATTTTCTATTTTGTGGCCCCACCAGTTCCTCCTTGCAGGAAAATGGTATTTCTTGCAGCCATTCCAGTGCACCAATGTTGCTACTTGGTGTGCCATTATTTATAGTCAGTTTGTGTGATTTTCTTGCAGTAGCCCACTATTTCTTCAGCTTCTGTGTTGAGATAGTATTGTTGTCTTCTTAATTCTGACATTGCTTGCATTTGTGCATAATGCTTGGTTTTGTAAAGCCAGAATTAGCCTGTTTCTTTTTTCATCGTAACTGCTTTTGGCCATTACCTGATCTTGTTAATGGCTTTGCCATGTTTCTTTTTCTATTCTTCATTTGATCTTTCTTCTAATCTAATTTGGTCTCTTTGGTATTCAGTCAGCCTTCATGATATACTCGTTTCAATGCATCTTCTTCACTTTTCTTCAAATTTGTGAAATTTTTCTGCAGCCATTGATCAAATGGTCAGTTGTTTCATCTTTTTCAATACAAAGGAGACATTTGCTGCTGTTATATGTTGAATTTTCACTCTCATGCAATTAGTTGGCAAAGCTTGCTCTTGAACCACTAGAATCTAGCCTTCAATTTCTTCTTTAACATCCTGATCTTAACCAATTCCATGTGGGGGTTTTATTGACCTTTTCTTCCAGATACTTACATAGAACTACAGCAGCTGTAGTTTGAATGTTATAGAATATGCATCTGCCCAGAAATAATATGTCAATTCTGGACATGCAGAGCCAGTTTACTGTAGCAGTAGGCATTAGGATAGAAACGGAAGACCTGGCTGATTTTGGAAAAAGTCGCCCTCTTGTGGCAGCTCTAGGAAGGAGGCAAAGGAAAACCACTTCCAAAAACACCTTGCCAAGAAAATTGCAGGGATTTGTCCAGGCAGTCACCAGGAGTCAAAAACTGACTTGAAGTATTGCCGCCCTAATTTCCACTGTACATTGATTATTGTGGAAATAAACTAAATAGAGCTTTTATATGCAAAGGAGAAAATAGTAAGCCAGATAGCTTCAGCTCTGCATTTCTATTTACCATTTACTAAGAGATCTGTATATCTTGCTAAACATGGAGTTTTGGTTGAAAATAGAATGGTATATATCCAGAATTGGAGCACCAACTGTTATTTCTTTTCTTTGAAGGCATTCAACCTACTTCCTTTACTCATAAAGTCCCACTGTTGGATCTTTAGACGGCTCCCTGATCCCAATATCGTAACCATTCTTTTTAGGCTTTGAGAGGAGGTGTCGCCTCCGTAAGAAGTTATCAATACCTCAAAATGTTATAGACTGATCTGTTGGTCTAAGACAAAATACATGGAATAGGGGGCTATAGCCCTAATATTGTCAATTTCTATACTGTGTTGCCCATCATACATCAATAACTTCTACCCAAATGAGTGTAAGAAGATCCACGTTGTAAATAGGAATAACTGCTTATCACAACTCTTGTATGAAGTTATCTGTCCTTATTTTTTGTTGGATTAAAGGACTAGTCTACACCACAATAATCTTAGGATGTGAGCAAATGTTAAAATTCCCAGCAAGGGGCTAGTTTGCTTTAACCTATGCTCAACATAATATTTAGATTACAAAACATAACCTGAGCCATTTCTTTGCTGCATATTTTAAATTTAATAAAATAAGATAGTTGTATTTCAAGAAATATTTGCCCTGCACAATTTCAGCTTGGCAGTTTAAAACTGATAAAATTGGTAAAATCCAGACATTCTGGGTAGAACTGGCAAAAGTAACTCCAGTGCTATAGTGGGGTTTCAGAGCAATTATGTTTGGACATATCCATCACTCTTGTCCTGTACAACCCAGAGCTACTGTTTCTTTGTTCCAAAAATGATAAAAGACCAGGCAACTGCTTTCAGCAACAATGTTCAAAATTATCCTCACCCTCAAAAGTGAGCACACTATGTAAAATAAGAGTGTATATGTCAGAGCTCTGCAATGCTCAAGTTTTTCAAGGGAAGCCATCTTGTTGGAAGAATACAAAGCTGAGCCATTTGTCTTGTATTGCTGGTTCTTCATGTAAACTGAGAAATTGTAGCAACCTCTGCAAATCCATTAGGGGAGGGATGAGGCAAAAGTCAAGATGTACTGCTGTACCACCTTGTCAAGGACAATGAAACAAAATTTGAGCCTCTTCCAAAAAGTTCAACCTTTAAAAAGATAACGGATGTGCTTTTCTGAACTGCTTGCTACAATTATAAATCCCAGGAAAATGTCCCAAGGTTTGGCTCAAGGTTCAAGAAAATGAGTGAATAGCTGCCGGTCAGCTAGCAAAAACCAACAGAAGCAAAAGTGGTGCACTATCTCAACTTTTCAGCAAAATTATGAGCATACCAAACTAGAAAACGCATAAGCAATAATTGGAAAGAGCTCACTATTCAGCAAATCAAATTCTGCAGGGCAGGAGTAAGTGGGCTGCAAATGGCCCCACCTGCCTTTATGCAACCACAACTAAATTGATCTAATTATATTAAAAAGATGAAAATTAGGTTTGTTAGTCATCTGAAAGCATTAAATGCTGATTTTGTACTTCAAATCTTGCTGAAAAACAAAAAGGGGAGGTGAACATCTGGCATTAATGTACCAAAATATTGCCATGTCCCTATGGCTCTTACAGGCTGAAATCTTTTTTTTTTTTTTTTAAGTGCACCCCCCTCCCTCCCTCCCTCCCCCCAATTATAAAAAAGTTTACCCGCAGTAAGAAAAGTCCCAGATTTCCTGTGGGAACTGGGCTAGGTTGGTCTTCCAATAGTGAAGTCTGGATATTTTGTTCTGATTAGAACTTTTCAAAGTTTTATTCTTGGTGTTCCCTTTCACAGAGCAGTAGGATGGGAACTGTACAAAAACAACTTCACTTTGCCCTGATCATAAATAAGCCATCTCATATAAAACCACAAGTCAGGGTAAGCCTATTCGGCTCACCTCCATCTGTTCGCTGAGAAAAGGACCTTGGTACCACTTGTTTTGAGAAAACTGTTCAGACATTAGAAGAAGCACTCCTTCATGTCCTTCAAATCAGTCCAGTATTTTTCCCCAAAGAAATTCATCTAGGGAAAAAAATAATCAGGCTTCACCTCTTTTCCAGCTCTTTACTAAGTTCATGACCAGGATTAAGCAAATGCTTTGGATTTGGTGGGGAGGACACAGATTTTCCTGCAGCTCCTAAACCTTTTGTACTGCGCCCTCGCCCGCAGGCACTTTTTTTGCTCGCTTCTTCATGCGACTGCGGGCATAGACACGGAGGAAAAGTGCTACGAAAACCACAGCTACTCCCAGCCCACCCATCACGGTGACTGCGTGGCCATAGATGAGGCAAGAAAGCAGGATGGCAAAGGCTTGGCGTAGAGTCATGATAATGGTGAAGACGGCTGCTCCAAATTGGCTGATGGTGTAGAAAATGAAGAGCTGTCCAAAAGCGGAACACACGGACAAAAGCACAGCGTGAGCAGCAAACTCCGAATGCCGTGCCATAAAGTTTACCGATTCTATCAAGGCCCCCTGTTCCAGCAGCGAGCCCACTGTGAACAGGCAAGAAAAGACATTCACTCCAAACATCATTTGCACTGAGGACATCTTATAGGTGAAGAGGGCATCCTGCCAGTTGGAGGTGAAACTGTCAAAAGCAATGTAGCCACCGAGGAGGATCACACCAGAGAAGGTAGTGACAGTGGAGAGATGCTTGTTGTGAGTACTAGAGAGCAGAAACATGCTAACCCCTACTGAAATGAGTGCTGCTGTTAAATATTCCCAGTACTCATAGCTTTTGCGAGATACCAGTTTGCCCATCAGCATGACCGGAATCACCTTGGAGGCTTTGGCCAGCACTTGTGTGGGGAAACTGATATACTTGAGAGCTTCATATTGGCACCAGCTGCTGAGAATGTTGGAGAGGGAAGCAAAAGAATACTTGTACATGGGAGCGCCATGACGGGGCTGCTTGATCAGAGCACAATAGAGGCCAGCCACGGTACAGGCCAGGATCCGGTTCATGAAGACAAGGAACTGCGAATCTTTGAACTTCTCTCCAGGCTCTGAGTCACTTGCTCCATAGGACCTGGTCATGACACGCTCCTGGAGGACACCCCATGTCAAATAAGAGATCTACCAAGTGACAGACAAGAAAGGAGATTAGGAGGACAACTATCAGGGAGGAAGTGACACATGGTGACCATCTGACAGTCTTGAGGGGAATCTTCTAACTCCTCTATCTATCCAGAGTAATCTAAATGCTTGTAAACACTTTATCAACACAAGCTGAAAGCTAAAAGTCAAATTTGACCATATTCTCTTATCCCTTACAAGTAGGATCTAATCTACCAAAAAAAAAAAAAAATTCTGATGAAGTGAAATAGAGATTGTTAAATTATGGCACTACCTATACTTGCAAAATTGCAAAAATCATGTGCTACTGGTAGTTTAACCGCAAAACAATTGAGGACGTTACTGGTCCTTCTATAACAAAAAGACAAACTGGTCCCGTAGAGAATAGATACAGGATGTACCA